TTACTTGGCGGCGCACGTTCGGACGTACATTTCTGATCCGTATGGTGAGAACACTCGCCCAACACGCCATAGTGCTGTGGACTCGGAAACGAAGGGGATTACCAAGGATGGTGAAGTTGAACAAAAGTGCAATCAAGTAACCAAACTGTGGTGCGGTTGAGCGCGATTCAGCGTGTTCGGCCACCAGCACCTCGGCTGAGGGTAGCATTGACAAACAGTAGAGACACACAGAGTGTGTGAGTGAGAAGAAAGTCCTTGAAGCATTGGTCCATATGTTGTGTGGGTATGTAGCTTTTCGGTGGTACAGATCGAGGAAAACAAGCAAGCTGAAATTTCATTTGTTTCTGTTGAGTCATCAGCTAAGACCAATAAAAAAGCATTACAAATGTGGAACAGGGGTACTCTGGTGCAGCATTTCTGTCCTAAAGCCAAACAACAAGCTTGGACACCATGTCCTGCAAGCAGCTACCCAGGAGTCTTACCTTGGGGTATTTATCCAGTATGATCTGGGCTCCTCAGAGCGATCTGGGAAGGCGAAAAAGACTGGAGGCCAACACGTTTACATGCTGCGAAGGGCATTTGGGTGGTTTGATTTCTCTGTCTGTTCGCAGTTACTTAACACTTTCGTGCGGTCTCATGTGGAATACACAGTCTAGGCCTAGCAGACCTGGCAACAGAAAGATCTCGGAGCGCTCGAGACTCTACAGGGAAGAGCCGCAAAGCACGTCAAAAGGTTGTCCCATCTTCCACATCAACTTAGGCTGAGGACTGAAATTAGTACAGCTGCCAGTATCTTCGCCTACGTGGTGATCTAATAATGACCTACCGGATTTTGAGGAACCCCAATCACGTCTGCCGTCATCTGCTACAACTCAGTCACAACACGAACTTGATGAGCCTCCAGCTCAAGTTAGTCACACAATACAGCCGCCTAGAATGTCGGCGAAACTTTTACTCTCTTCATGTGTGCCAGCCATGGAACGCCCTCCCAAATTACGTCGTTTCCGCCCCCAATTTATCTGTGTTTAAAATCCGCCTTGACTTTTTCCGAATCCACCTACATTACGAAATGTAGTCTGTGTATCTCCGCTGACGATTTAATGTGATGAACGTGACACAGCCAGAATTTAGCCTACCCAACTGTGGTTGGCTCTTTCTGCGTGCCTCTGTGTTAACACCGCGGTGAGTCCACTAAGACGACCTTCATTTTATCACTTTGTTTTCTCTTCATCATGTTGTGGTTCTCATCCTGACCATCCTACGGGACTTGTTAAGCAACCTCTTTTATCCGTACTACGACGGTAGAGCAATAACTTTCCGGATACGCGAAAACTTTTATTTCTTTTACAACAAAACAGACATTACATGTTTTCGAAGTACTCTCCACCAGCTTTCATGCATAGTTCCATGCACGCATGCCGTTTTGCCAAGCAGTTAGACCATGCTGAAGCGGGTAATTCTTGAAGTAGCTCAATAAAAGCTTTTACTGCAGCTTCTGGTGACTAGTAAGGAATTTCACGCATCATGTGTTTGACATTTGGGAACACAGAAGAGTCACACGGAGCCAACTTTGGACTGTAAGGTGGATGGCCAACCTTCTGGATGCGTTCTCTAGCCGGAAAATCAACAACGACAGGTGACTTGTGCGCAGATCCCTCGTGCTCGAGTCCTTGTACGACATCTTGCACTCGTGACAGACAGTAGGTGGCATACCAATCTCCGGTGACTGCGCGTTGCCATGCGAGTGGCACAGTTGCCACATTACCGGTCTTGGCCACGAACACAGCCACCATCTGCTTGACCACACTGCGCTCATGCCGGAATATTTGGAGGCAGCGCTCCACTAACGGCCGTCCACTGTGCCGATTGTTACTTGGTTTCTGAGTCGAAACTGTACATCCAGATCTCATCGCCAGTTAGGATCTCCCTAACAGCATTGGAATATGCACCATCAAACCTGGCAAGCATGGTACTTCACCAAATCACTTGCGCTGCTTTTTGGTCCTCACTCTACTGTGGTGGTGCCCAGAGTGCGCAAACCTCATGTATGATGGTGCGAATTGATCCCGATGAGCTCGCGATAGCTTTTCCCAGCTACACCACAATCATCGCGCTCCCTCCTCTAGTATCGCTTGCACAGCAGCAATGTTGTCCGCGGTGGTGGCCTTCACACTTCGACGATGCCGTGTCTTTATAATCTAGGGACCGCCTGCCACGCTTGAATTTCGCAAACCACTCAAACACGGTGGTTCTTGAATTCGCATCATCACCAAACGCATCACACGATCGCACAACACTGGTGCTGTTTTAAACCACATTTCTAGTCATAGAAATTCAACGCCCTCTAGTGACATCAACTGAGCTCAGTCAGAGTATAGCGAGTCTTATGACTTGTGAGATGTGCTGTATTGCTGATATAGGGTTCTGTGAGTTGAAATCACTGAACAATGTTCAGAATAGATTACGGTTCACAGGTCCTCTGCATCTGTGTGCTGCGTATCCGGAAGCTTATTGCTCTACCCTCATACCATTGTTCCATTGACTTCCCAGCCGGTGAAATAAACAGGAAAACGATGCGGCCAAATAATATACATCGGACCGACTACGGCGGTTTTCCTTGACCTTCGATTTTGTTGACCGTGTCAGCATGTGGTACTGCCTATCCGCAAAGCGGGTGCCAGCTAACTTTCTTTCCATTCTGAAGTCCCTCTGTCGTGACTCCTGAGATCTACGCGAGGCTGTCTCCTGACTTCCCTAAGACAAGTGGCGTTCGCTAGGATTGTTCTATATCTCTTTTCCTCTTCAACTTTGCGATCAAAATGATCCAGGCTACCGGAGTGGACGTTCTGCTAGGTGATCAAGTGCTAAACCATGAATATGTCTACGACATGGTTTTCCTTGGGTCTGATGCATTGACAATGCAAACATTGCTGCACAGGCTGACACATAACGCTGCACGCTTTGGCATATGATTTGCACCTTCAAAGTGCTGTTGCAGGACTTGACCGATACACCACCGATTTAAGCTATCACCGAACAGCACCTTGAACTGGTGGATCGGTTCACTTACCATGGTAGCTATGTCACTTCTGGTGGTCACATCACTGTGGAGGTTATTTCGCGTATCAGCGTAGCTCGTGTGGCTTTCCGGAGGCTCATTAATCTATGGAGTCGTCGGGATATCAGTGGATGATAGGGTGTATAACGCTGTGATAAGGCCAGTTTTACTGTGTGGATCGGAGACCTGGCCAGTACGCTTGGCAGTGTTTGTCCACCGGTGCTTGCAGAGGCTTGCTCACGTCTTGTGAGAATACCGGGTGAGCAATGTTGAGATCCACGTGGTTTTTGGCAAAAATCCACGTTAGCTGTTCATCCACCTGCACCCAATACGGAAGGGTTTCGGTACAAGAGCTATATCGCTCGATTCGCAATTATCGCAGCATATTAGCCGAGATGGGTGTTCTCGCCCTTAGCTAAAGTATACTGATAATATTGACGATTCGCATTTGCGGTGACTTTAAACTGACGACTGCGGAACGCCACTCTTTTTGCTTTAGGAGGAACCTAACCCGTGACTTCTCGACTCCAGCGTCTTTTGCTTTTGACTGACAGCGGCAGACCGTCCTGATTTACGGGATGACTGCGCTACAGAACTGCTGCTTCTCCACTGCAATGCAAGACAGAAGTTGACTTGGCAGCGGGAAATGAAGTTATTGACGACCAAACTGGGTGCCGTTGGTCCGTCTCGTCTTCCTGGCTGGAGTCCACGTGACTCGCTTTGTGCTTGGCTCGAGACTTTACAGGACATGGCTCGCAACCGACACCAGTGGCATGTCTGCTGCCGTCTCCTAATCGGATTGCCTGTTTAAAGTGTGTTTGTTGCTGAGTTATCTGCGGGGTAATGGCTAATTATAACGCCGGGTAGTGAAAGCCGCAAGGAAGCTGTCTCGCCGATGCCGCCTTATCTTTGCACGATAGTCAGCTGTTTGTGGCGGTGTGTTGTTAACGCAAGGTGTAGGCGTCTTGACCCTGAATGTTTGCTTAGGGAATTAAGGTTTTCAAGTAAGTCCCTCCTCTCTCCCTCTTATTATTCTTTATTTTATAGTTCCTCATGGTTGTATGACAGTGAAGCATCAGTTCAAATGGTTGATGTTCTGCTGTTGTTGATGATGATGATGATGTTGACTGCAATGCAACTTAGGCTTTACAGAGGACAAAGTGGACTCTTCGATCCACTCTACATAGCAGCTGTGTACAACATTGCGCTTAAAAGATGTACGATGGATTGTTTTACTTGTTTTTGTGCAGGGTTTCTCGATGTACCTTATTGAATACTCATCGCAGTAGCTTCTGTTCTCTGCAAAGTTCGTAACCTGTTTAGCAGGAGTGTGAGCCGTGCTATATAGTTGCCAAGAGTTTTTAAGATGGCAGTCTGCTATCCGTTGCCGAATGACATGAGACACTGATATCGAGATTTCATGAATCCAGTTCCCATAGCCGAAGAATGCACACTAGTGAGGAGTCCAAATAAGACGAAACTGCCGTCTGGTGTTATACTAGATGCGTGAGAGGATGTCTCACTTGGACATACTACAGTGAACCCTCAATAGATTAGATCAAGATCCCCTATCCACAAAGAATCACCGATACTCGGCCAAATGAAGTTAGCCTATCTCGAACGAAAAAGCACTGTATGCTCTGCAACGTCAATCTCTAAGACGAGCAAAGTCGGTGGTATTTTACCAGCGTTCCAGCAACCTTTTTATGTCCCTGGCGGTATGACCATCTTTTGAATCGAACTGCGAGAATATACAAGCGCGGTATGTATCGTTATGTGTTTATTTCCTTCATTGTCCAATCAAAGCTCCCTGCTTGGACAATATTCGACGGCAGTGCATTCGAATAACATTTGAGGAAGCCTACTCTTGTTGGACAATTCCTGATTATTCCTCTTCTGTCGATTGTTGTTCATATTTATGTCTTTTTTCGCCTTCTTTTAGATGTCTAAGATTGAATATTTGGAACGTCGGACGGTCATGTTGTATCGAGAACGTTTTGAAAAACTTGCAGAACGCCGTCGTCTGGACATGAAAGACATGGCAGAGTTGGCCACTCAGCGTGAGTCTCGTCCCCTTGACTGGTTTGCTTTTGGTACACTTTTCCCCCTCCGTGTGTTATACACTTGGCCTAGTGAATGCTTACTTGCTATCATTTCCTTCCATGCGGATGTCTTATTCAACTTGACCAAACACTATTCGCATTTTGTCGTAGGAGATTCGGGACGACTGAGGATTTCGCCTGTCTGAACTTCATTGTGACGTATGCTCTCTAGTGTCATGTCATTGACCAAAGCCGTTCGCCATTCTCTTCGACTACATGCCCCCGTTTTCCGTTGCATGATGTCTTCGAGGTGGTAACTTACATACATTAGCAACACACTATAGAATAGACATTGAGCCATCGAGAAACCATGAAACAAATGCTATACTAAGTAAAAAGCTCAAAAAAGGGATAATACACAATGAGATTTTTTGTGGTTTTCATACGCCGTTTGGTCATTTGTCTCAGTTTAATGACTACGGTTTTGATGCTTAAAATCAATACAAAGACTCATGCAAGCTTTCCATTGTCTGCACTTATGCGCCATGTTCTCAAGTCTCTGATTCCCCAGCCCTGAAGACGTACAGGACCGAAAACAGCTGGACTAGAAGTCAGCACTTTGACGTTCTGTCGCTACCGCACGATTTCTTCCATTGCGGTCCTGCGCGAGCAAATAGAGCACACCGTGGCAAACGCACACGAACGACATGCATAGGACGTGACTAGCCACCTCAGTTGGCACAGCGATATTTGCTTATCGATTGGTAGGCCCGTATTACCAAGAACGCGACGCCTAACATCGACGTCGCTAACATGATGTTCTCACCACACACGAACTATCTTGTGCAGACAGCTATTGTCAAAGGCCGGAAATTCGACACAACTCATTTACGCGGATCGGTCTGGACTCCCTTCCATACAACAGGACCGTGCGAGCACAGGCATTGTAGACCCTACCCTTTACCGAGAGTGAGACGTCGCGACGACGTCACAAATGACTCAGATCAGCGAAAGCTGATCGGGCTTTGGCAATACGGATAGAACTCTCTTTACCGATGGTGCCATCAGAAGAAACGCAGCTCCCAAGGTAGATGAAGCTATCTACTTATTCAAGCTGCATGCCTTCAGGAATCAGCACGGAGGCAGGTGGACACCAATTCTGGAGTAGAACTTTGCGTTTCGATAGAGCGAAGGTCATGCCATACTTGGTAGCTTCAATCACCAAGCGGTTTAGAACGATTTTCATGATATGTGGGTCGTCACCGAGCGAGGCAATGTCATCAGCATAGTCCAAGTCAGTCGCGCGGTTGCCTGGAAGAAGCTCTACACCAACAACATGGAGACTTTCCAGAGTGCTTAATAGGACATCCTCAATCGCATAGTTGAAGAGGAATGGGGACATGGGGATCCCTGTCGCACACCGCTACTGATGGCGAAAGATAAAGAGAGCTTACCGTAAGCTAGAGATATTGTTGCATAAAGCTCGAAGTATGGCGGCATACGTTTCGGGAACTCCATCCCTTTTCAGACAACACCACAGAGCCGGCCGGTCGACTGAGTCGAACGCAGCTCGGATGTCCAAAAGGCGACAATAATATGCTGGCGATAAAGGTGGCGCTTCTCAAGAAGTTGGCGGAGCGTAAACACTTGATCCACGCACCCTCGATCGGGGCTGTTCCTCACGCAAGTGTACTTATCGAATCGGTGTTAGCCCGCACAGTAGAATGGATGTCAACAATTTTAAGGCAACGGATATTAAACTGATTCCTCTGGGGCTGACGCATGAGTTACGAGCACTTTTTTGAAGATGTGTGCGATGATGGACTCGCCCCAAGAAGATGGAATCTTTTTCTCCACACCAGATCTTGGAGGACAGAGCTGTTAACTGGTTGACAATCGCCTCGCTAAGGTGGTAATCTGGTGCGATTTGTTGTGTATATCTCAAAACCCACCCGCGCTATTTGGCTCTGCCCACTTCACGGGACCAAAATCCTTCTCTCATATCACCTGTTCCTCTTGATAATCGTCACCCACTTTGTGCTTTGAGTATTGGTCTTAACATGGTGCAATGACTACAGACCTATTATCTAACAGCATGCCGTCACAAACAACCGGCTATCATGCGCAGATAAGGCGGTATTGGCCAGACAGCGTCCTTGAGGCTTTCACTGCCCCGCGTCATAAGTAGCCATTACCCCGCAGATAACAGCATCAAACACACTTTAAACTGGCAGTCCAACTAGGAGACGACAGCAGACGCATCACTGGTGTCGGTTGCGAAACATGTCCTGTAAACTCTCGAGCCAAGCACAAGGCGAATACTGAGAATAGAGAGCGAGAGGATAAAAAATCTGTGTTACTCCATCGTGGGTGGATCGGGCATATGCGCGGAATCACGTCGCTGATCCCTCCGCGGTGGCAGCATATTTCAGCTACACTGCATCTTATCCGGGTGCGATACGCTCCCTATACCTGAAGCCCACAAAGTGGGCGTCAAGGAATCTCTTAAATTCGGACACCGATTTCACATCGACTAGCGTCTCCGGCACTTTGTTGCAATATTTCACCACTTGACGCTCGAAGCGTAGGGGGTGAGCGATGTGCTTTAAATCCTGTACCACTAGTTTGAACCTGTGTCCGCGTGTGCTGCTTTTTGCGTGAACGTGCAGCAGCGGCTTCAACATAGGGAAGTGCCCCAGGTGAAGTATCCGGTGCGTCATAATGAGATCAACTCGAGGCGGATGATATGCGTCGGTCCTCATAGGACATACCCCGTAAACTGTGAATGAGCCGGGTAGCCATATGCTGGACCCGTTCCAGTCTCTGCACTTCACCTTTTGTGCTCCGACAATGGGCGGGTGAGCCTTACTCAAGCACCGGTCTTAGTATGGAAAAGAAAAGACGGGTGGCAATCTCTTCATAATCGTCGGCAGAGCCAGACACGAGGAATTTATTCCACAATCCGCGTCGCTGTCAAGACAATAGATCATACTCTCTGTCGAATCAATGTGGCTTCACTGGTCCGCCTTTCCGATACTTGAGGGGTACGAAACAAGCACACAACGATTGTACACCCTCTTCTATAACAGACCAACTGGCTTCAGCAGATGAATCCTGTGGCAGCGACTAGTCTACTTCACTGGTGGCTCGATTTAGACCATCGAAGTCAGTCTTGCAATAATTGTAGGACGGCTCCGGCGGACCTGTGTAGGGCAGCGACAGCTCTATGCTGGCTAACATCATCGAGTGGTCACTAACTGTCAGAGGCTCCAGGACCTGAATTTCATCTACACCTTGCTCGCAACTCGTTAGTAGTAGGTCCAGGAACGATGAAGCGGGATGCGGTGTAACGCGCTTTGGTTGGCAGACATGTTGTACTGCCCCAGTTTCAACTATCATCCCCGCAAACTGCGCCTCGATTTCATAATGCCCGGGGAGACGTTAACTCTCAGACTACCCTATTCGAGGGAAGTTAAATTCGCCAGTAAGCAAGAAAGGGGACCGACTCATGTAATTTCTGGTATGCAGCAACCAATCTGGGCATCGACTTCGCGGACTGCGATAAGTCGCACCCACAAACAGTCCACCCTATCTCCTCGCACAGGCCATCTTCGCTGAGGTAGGTGTGTATCAGTATCCCGCACAGCGGGGACCGAGTGTATAACAGCACGCCGCCTCGATCGTTTGGTTGTCTGTCGCACGGGAAGTACGTTTAGCCACTGCTCTGGACTTTCTGGGTCGTGACCTCAGGATTGAACCAGGTTTACATTAGTCCTAGTATGTCCGGACGACGAGAGACAACAAAGTGAAAAACATCGTCACGTTTGTTCATTAAACTACAAACATTTGTGACGGCTACGCGCAGGTCGCGGTAGGAACCGCTGGACACGCATGAAGCGTCATCGATCTGTTGATCCGGGTTCGGCGGACCCGCGGAACTACCCGAAAATTTACGATGAGGATATTGGTTACTTCACTTTCAGTCCGACGCTTCTACTCCATGATAGCGGACTTCAGTTTCAGTCTGTATGACGGATCTAAATCGGGACGAATATGGATATTTAGACATCTTAGCCTACCGAGGCGGGATAGTATCAGTCTCGGACTCGTTGCATCAATGGACGTGACTTGGAGAGGCCAGGACTTCTCCTCTCTCTCTCTCTCCCAGAAGGTGATTTGCTTCACCTACAATTCTTGTTCATTCACTTCGAGAAGCCTATCAATCAGGCACTGCAGAAAATCCACGTCGTGGTCATATGAGGCTGAAGACTAGCATCCGTCGACTCAGGCGCTTTAAATATCATAAGCTTACAATGTCGCTGATTGCTTTCAGTTGTCTTCTCCTATTTGCTTCGCTGCATTCTCCATTGGGCATCATAGCCTGCGCAATCGCACACCGGTATGTTAGTGTCCGTAGGACAGCACAGGTACGCCAGCTGGTTTCCAGCAACGGGTGGACATCGCTCTGAAGAGCCGGCAGCCGGTGTGCAACTGGGCTCTTTCAAACATAGAGGTGGATGGATTTCTCTTTGCTTGCATGAACCCACGGAGATCCTCCCTATGGAACGTATCGGCCGTCTTGTAGGCCCTCGCGGCTTCCCGGCTGTTTGTGACTCCACAGTGATTTGGCATTTCTTGCAAAATATTTGCACACAGTCATGCTGCAGTAGCTTACACTGATCTAAAAATTAACCAATACACAAAATGTAGAAATTCACAAGACACATAAAGCATGTAACTGCATTGGCTCTATGCCCAACTACTTTGCAACAAGTGCCACATGGAGTCAGTGATAGAGACGTAAGCGGAGCACCTTTCCCCATCCAAGTGCAAAGCGCTTCTTCAAGACTGGTGTACGCTCCTACCTGCACTCCCCATCGATGGGGAAACGTTAGAAGTAGTACAGAGTTTTGTCTACCTGGGAAGCTGCATTACTGCTGGTAGGGATGTTGAAAACAAGATTTCGATGCGTATCTAAAGAGCTCGTCTCGCCTTTTCAAGGCTGAGGCATTAATGGCGCCACCATGACATCCGTCTCTCCATCAAAGCACGGGTTCATAGTGCTACTGTCCGCGTTCTACTGTTGTACGGTTGCGAGATGTGGCCTGCTTGTACCGATGACTTACGTCGACCGCCTGTCTTCGAGAACCGTTGCTTGGGGTCCATCGCCCGCGTCTGGTGGCTGAACCACGTAACAAACGCTGAAGTCAGGTAGCGTGTCTTTGGTGGAGACAGCCACTCCCTCGAGGCGCTTGTCTCGCTGCGTCAACTACGATAGCTCGGACAAGTACTGCGTATGCCCGTACAGCGTGTTACGCGTCGCTGGACAGGGTTAGAGGAGGCGGTGTGGTGGACAGCCTACAACTTGTAGAAGCAGGATGAAAAAGCCGACGAAACAGTTGGCCACGACAGTTGGCCTCCCGACTCCCTGGATGGGGTCCCAAGGATGCCGAGTGCAGTTGATTGGAAACGTTGGAAGTCAGGGCTCGAAACCGAACGCAGTGGCGGTCGTGTATCTCTGCTTGCTGCGGTGCTTCCCCTTCCCCCCCCCCAAGAAAAGCACATCAAAAATGGACGAAAATTGTTTGTTTTCCTTTACTCTAACCCTGTTTCCCTCACTTCCAACTTGGTATCGGTTGGTGTTTCCTGACTGTCGATCTGGGGACAGAAGGACGATGAACACGTTAGACTGGATACACTAGCTGACATGGCGAAGCGGTGATCTCAGTGGGGTTTGTGTTGTGAGTCCCTCTTCTCTCCACCTTAGCTTCCCCCTCCAACAATGACGTCAAACTCCATGCATAATGTGATACTTAGCACTGTCACTTTTATAGCTGCTTTAGTCTATATTGTGTAATCTCTTATCTTTTTGTACTGCGGCACATTAACTGAGGTTATTTGCTCATGGTTGGCAAATGTGTATTGATGATGATGATGGGTGGTGTCCCTGGGCACCTATAAAGCTACTCCTACATGAATGACGAAATGTTAGAGGTCAGACAAACTCAGTGTCATAGTCCTCCAGGTTGGGGATAGGCAATGGGACGGGGCCCACTTCTGTAAAACGAAACCGTTGCCATCTCCGCAGAGTCTTGAGCAAGATTTTGAAGGCCTTAATCGTTTTTTGTCCATGCTTGGGCTGTTTAGGAGTATATCAGACTATGTAAAACCATGACTATTCCCTCAACCATATTCGGCATCCGCTGTCGCACAGCATTAAAAGGATCGCCTTTTTCACTGCGAACAGCAGGGCGGATACGCGCTAGTGCCGAGGCAATCCTTCCTACTTTTCAGTCTATCTCTTAACTCCTCAGATGCCCGATACTAACTTTCCTGCTGTAATTCCCAGCCGCTGCGATGCAACCTGGAGTCATACCATCTGTAGCTACCTTCCCACATCACCCATTGAAGACCAATCTCCAAACTCTCCTCATAAGTTCACAATGTTCCGTCTCCCTGATGACCTTCGACGTTCGCACTCTAAGACAAATAGGTCAGTAGGCTGTATTCGCACAACCGTTGGACACCCTGTGTACTGATGCGCGTTCTGCGTCCGCAACTATGATCAACGATCCTCACGGGATTATGGAACTAAATGCGCTCTGTTTATTCTCTCGCTACTGGTTGTTCGCATCCGGAGACACTGCCGCAGCAAGCACTGGTCAACCTGGAGTGAGCATCGTTCTCAGGTGGTTGATTGGATTTCCGCGAACAGCCGTTTGTGCTTAGCCCGTAGACCTACATCAACCAAGATTCCATTGCGGAATCTCACGATGCAGGCGTTGTGGTACTACCAGGTGGAAAACTTCATCTTGATAATGCTGGCGGTATCGTTCTGCTGTTTAACGATGTTGGGGTGGTCCAGTCAACCCTAAATGACTTCTCTAGAGTGGTCTAATGGGTTAATTTGAGCTTCGTATTTCCAAAGTAATGTAAAAGGTCCACCAGTCACTTGACTACTACTTGAGTCCTGCTACCGAGGAACTTGGCATCTGCATCAGCAACGACGTAAGCATATCCACTCAAGTCAGTTCATGTATTGCAAGGACTAGAAGTGCCTTTATGAATCTGCGACATCTGTGGCGTCAGAGAGGAGCTTCCCTCTGTCTGAAATATCGTGTCCACAACTCTGTGAGAGTGAGTGAAACTCGGCCTATTCGGTCTGAGGATTTGAGGCGCCTTCAAGTCTTTGATCATCGTTGTCTGTGAAGCATTGCTGGCGTCGAATGGCAACAGCGTGTCTGCAACGATGATGTGCGTAGGCGAGTACAAGGCAATGCTAATCACTATCCTGTCAGTATGCTAAACCCGTAAAGCGGAAAACCCACACATTTATTCGGTCGTAGTCATGCATCCCGATGTCGCTGACACCATGGTATCCTATCTTGCAGAACTAGTGCAACTTCCAGTGACATGACACGCGAGTTTTCTGCTGCAGTTTTTGGCCAGCAATTGGCTTAATGTCGAAATCACACTTCTCACACCCTGACCTTACCGCCGCTACGTGTGTTGCTTGATCAGAATGCCATCGAGGACGTAGATCAATTAATCGCCTAGTTTGTTGTTTACACAAAGCCTTCAGGGATGAAACATTTTCTCACACAAATCGCACTGCTTAAAGTGAGGTTTTAAACGAACAATCTGTGCCCATGCCAACCTCCAAGGGGAACTGGATGCTGTCTCACCAATTTGCAAGACGGTACTGTATCTGCGGAGCGATAGTGCATAGTTCCACCATGCCATAAACAACTCCACTCGGGATAGCGATAGTGGAAAGCCTCGAAGCACTTCTGTTTTAACTTTCCATGTGCGTCAATGGATATCACACATGCAGCGATAGCATTTGCTAACACTAAGTCGAACTAACATCATAAAGCAAGGAAATGTGCTCTATTGAGGTTATGTTGTACATCACGTACTATGTGCTCAGCGTGCTTTATTGCTCGACGATGTACTCCTCAGTTTCGGATTTTAAATCACCTGACCAATGCCGCATCTTTTTTCTACTAATGTCGCTACTCTTTGATATACAATGAACTAACTGGACGCTATCTTACCGTCTTGGTGTGTATACCTCATATATTCTTTGGAACCACCATTGGCCTTGTCAGATTGATTTGCCTGCGGGGACATTTTACAAGTTGCCCCATAAATCACTATCTGTCCATTGCTTCCCTACTTTCCATGTTCCCAGGGTTTTATTTGGCTACTATGTTACTTTTTTACTTGGGGTCCATTGCGGTACCCTGAACTGCCCATACGAGTCGATGCACTGGTTTTAAGCATATCAGGCATATCAGGCTCTTTCCCTCGGATGCATATTTCAATTGTCACTTTTGATCCTTTTCATCAAGCTGCCGGTCAGCCAGCTCCCACAAATCCTGAGGAAAAGAAGTTGTTTGAAATCAGACGAAAACGTTGTTCCGAACGGGACGCCAGGCGGTGAGTGGTCTCTCGTGTTTTCATTTCTATCGTGTCCGTGTGTTTCCCTATTGCTCATGAAAAGTGGTTTCTCCACAGCGACGGTAGTCGTAGCTCACTTATATTGCTTGCGATGTGCCTTTTGCGCTTGGTCGATCGTATGTCTGTCTGCTTGTTTTAGTTGCTCACTCACGATGCACGAATTTGCGTGCGATTGACTACAGACTCTCGGTTAAAAAATGTAAACTGACGGACATCCCGATGACTCGTGTGTTGTTCGGATTGTGAGCTGGAGATTGATGTGTCTCACTTTTATCTACTGAGCACTTGCTGTCATTGACTGTTTCCGTTCACCACACCAAACTGTGTAACGCCCCGACCGATGGGGTCGTCGACCTTTTCGGACCCACTTAAAAGTCTCATTCAAGTAGCCTTTTCCTACTTCACAATGCCACCACTCTTCTTAGCTGATTCACGCCTGTCATCATCCCCGACTGCACTTATAGGTTTACTGGAAATACGACGAAAGATGTTCAACTCTTCCTAGCGTTCAAATGCGTACTTTTCTCTGACATAAGCTTGGGCATCAGCAGTACGCCGGTACGCCGTACTGACGCGTCACTGCTGCGCAACCACAACCAGTCGCACGTGGGCTGCAGATATTGCGATGAGCACCCGGACCCTACACAGGCTCGAACCCGCTCCCTCGGATTACAATGCAGGGTTGTGATCCTTAAGGCCACTACGTACCGGCTGCGACACATGACCGACTGCCTCAATATCAGAAAATGTGTTAATTTCACCGATTTCTCCCATCATAGTTACCCACGTTTTCAGCTTTTTTTCTTAGTGTACGCGTATCTTGTTCTCTCTTTCCCAATCCCTTTCCTTGTTCTATGCACAGTCTGACTTAACTTGAACATCCATGTTTTGTCCAGCATATGGTGTTGTTAAATTGCCCAAGTTCACTCCAACTTAAGTGAACACCATTTTACCGCATCCAACAGCGATTTCACCATTGCCATTCCAACTGAGAACAGAAATGTTCCCATCATTTACAACATTTGCCTTTTTTCTCTTATCCATCTGCAGCGTTCGCAGACAGCGCGCTCGTGAATCCTCGAACGCCACGGCGTCTCTTCAGCCCCCTTCTTCCATTGGACATTTAGATGGCACTAGTACTGATGACGAAGAGTCCCAGGCTGTCATAGCGAAACGGAAAGCCGACATCGGTGAGCTTACTATTTCGGTGTGTACCACTTATTTGCAACCAGGTGCTTTCTCGTCCGATTGCGAGGTTCCCATCCGCGCTGTCCTAGATTCTGCTCTCTTGTCTACATTCGGGTCCAACCCTTTCTCTGTGCAACCGTTCCCGGATAGACTGACGTGGAGCGCTACATGCTTCCCACTTATGTGTTGCGTGATTGGGCTGCTCTTGCTACCACTGAACAACTGCCATCCTCACAAGCAATAGCAGTACATCAGCTATTTGAACTTATGCTTCGCTATCGTACAACCATGCTTGTCTACGAAACGATGAATAATAATAAGAGGGAGAGAAGAGCGGAAAACCTTAATTCCTTAGACAGGCACTAAGGGTCAAGGCACCTACACCTTGTGTGTCAAATCAAGTCTAATCAGCTTAAACTTTATCCACCCGTATGTGTGCATTTTACAGTAACACTGAGGAATATCATACAACAAAGTGTCAATGAGCAAAAACATTTGACAGCAGTTAACAAAAATTCGCCTCTTCAATCAAGCATATGGTCAATAACGCGGTGTTTCATTTCTGTTAGGTCGATTAGTAGCCTTGATCAAAACGACAGGATCAAGTTTCGATGCGACGACGAGGTAAGAAAGTATAAAGCTTTAAACGTGTGGACGAAGTAGATCTAATGTTATATAGGATATCGTGTAAAGGATGAGTTAGGTCATTTAGAGTCTTGGATGAAATATTGATGCATGCATCAAAATGTTTGTTAACAATGAAGTCTATGGACATCTATTTCTCTAAACCAGAGATATAAATTTTAGCGAACGAACAAGAAGTGTACGTTGTCTTTATGAAACAGTCCTGGGAATATGACCGGGGTAGAGTATAACCAGTAGGGAAGAATACATGCAGTCACAAACCGTAGAATTAAAGCACGGGGAATGGATAGCATCTAAGATCTGAGAGCATAAACAGAGAGTCTTCTAATATTCTAAAATGTTTCAAGAATATGTATAGACTAAGACAAATTATGAGAAAGAGAAACATTGAGATATTTTACGGTAGGTGTGTGTGGTATGCTGTGGTCATCCACAATCATGGGAGGAAGGATATGTACAAGGAGCTGTGGTCTGTTGGGATGTAGAAAAAAGCATGTTACGTCACAATATCAGGAAGTGTTGGAGTTTCAAAGAGTCCTCGATGAATGGGGTTATGCAATTCAGGACGTCGTCAGCCTAAGAAGTTTGATGCAATAAAGAGACTTTCAACGTAGGCGGTAAATAAAAAAAGAGGGTAGGATGGATGGCTGGGAGTGCAGAAGACTTTCTGCTGCACAGCTGCGTGAAGTGGGTGCTATTTCTGAAGTAATCAGGCAACACACATATGGAGGGACACCGTTTTCAGATAAACTGTTGAGCAATAACGATCTATCAATGCTCTCAAAAGCGTTGATGCCATCAAGAAATAGGAGCCGTACACTCTTGCAACTATTGTCCAACGCGAACGCAATGGAATACATCAGATAAGTAACCGCATCCGGTGGAGTAGAGCGCCCTGGTTCATAGGAAAACTGTTTGACCTCGTCGACATGATTGTCTGTAGTTTTTGCAGTAACTTTAGTAGCACGAACGTGCACACAATTGGCCGATATTTCTGAGATACAATAACACAATTTTGCGAAGAGTACTCTTTTCGACAAATCTCCTCAGGCATTTACGATTATAAAATGGAAGGGCAGAACACAAATGGCTGATGAAGCCAAAGTGGTGGGAATAGTGGAATCACGATAAACAGAAACTCAAAAGTCTTGATTAATAAAGTCCATTAACAACACATGTGACAGCGCACGTGTTAGTTGGTCGGTGGAATGCCGAGCGCATCATCCGACCACTGTATGCGCACGGAGTGATAAAAGTTGGTAAGCTACTATGGCCAAGGTAGAAGCAGCCCTTACAGCAAAGCCTTCTGCATAATTCCGGTTGAATATTCTAATCGCAATCGCTTCGACCGTCCGTAAGATTTGCTTCCTGACCTTTAGTGTACCGTGGTTGTACTACATAAAGTACTTGGAAGGCATCAGCGGTCCTAATTCGGTGTCGGCTTTCCACCAGATATTCCTGGATGGAACTGTTGAGGAGACTGACGATGCCTTTTCGCAAAGTCGTTGGGCAGTGCTCCGCAATGCGTTTAGACAGACGCCTGATTGTGTGTCCCACGTACCTCGCACCACAGGCGCAGGTAAACTGATATAAGATGTAAGATTGGGACTGAACCGGAAGTCTGTCTTTAATGCTTTGGGCTATAAAGGGAGCTGTTTCCGCAAGGACGTGTGGGCGTGCGGCCGGGAAGGTTCGAACCACTGCACTGGAAATTCTTCTGGTCAACAGATCAAAGGCAACATCGCCTTTACAGGGAACTGATAGAAACACGTCCTTCTTAGGGACAGTAGTAGTCACTTCACGGCTATCGCGGATCACTGCATGCTTTTTAATGAATGGGGTCGGATAACCGTTATCTTGCAGCGTTTTGAGTATACGGACCTTTTCGGCCTCTAGTCTCTCTTAGCTGCAAATTTTCGTAGCACGAAAATACAAGCAGCGAACAAGATTACGTTTGTACCTCAAGGGAACAAAGCTCAGAAAATGTGTATATTGACCTACTTAGGTGGCCTTCCGCAATACGCTTCTTTCCAATGAACCATCATTTCTTCGGCTTAGCAACACATCTAAGAAGGCTAGCTTACCATCTCTTTCGGTTTCGATAGTAAATTTCAACGATGGATGAACACCGTTTAACTGGTTTAACAGGTTGGAAACATTGGTGTTTGCATCGCAGATTAAAAACGTATCATGCGTATAACGACGATAGAAATCAAACGAAGCGATGATAGGTCGTATAGCTTCACGCTCAATCCTAGCGAGAAAGTTATCAGCAAGGAGTGGTCCTAGGGGGGGACCCCATCGTGACACCGTCAATCTGTCTAGTAGATTCCATTAAATAAAAATTGTCTGTTGAAGGTACATCGTAAAATTAATTCCTTCAGTTTCCACACCGGAATACCCACATTTATGTTCTTTTCATTCATGTAATCACATACAGTTTCCATCAATGGAACATTCGTAAAAAGTGACTCGACGTCCAGAGAGAGCATCAATTTATCATTTACTTTCATGCATTCTACTCGTTTCACAAATTCAAATATGTCTTTCTGAGATACTGGTGTTATTTTGACTGGTTTCTAAATGTCGGAAATAGTATCACTCGGTAATCATCGATTCATGGTTTCGGTCCGAGATATTGTTAAAACATCTGCACGTACTTTCAGAGCGATTTCTGATAGACCATCCAGTCCACTAGCCTTGTTTGGCTTAAGGCTTTTGAGCTCCTTGTAAATACTTGCGGAAACATATAAAGTAGGATTCTCAGTAGTGATGAAAGAAGGCAGGATATGTGTGTTAGGTGATGAATAGCTGAACTCAGCGTTGAGTTCATCTGCCTCGGCGAAACGTGTTCTGATAGAATTCTTTCTGGTGAGTTGTCCTAAAAGCCTCCATAGGTCACGGCAGCTGTGGTTGCCTAAAACGTTCTGAATCTACAGTGTCTTTAACCTTTTTATTTCGGCTTTTATAACTGCGGACAGAAGATTAACACGGGCAGTTAACTTCTGATTATAAGTCGGTTCTATTTTATCCTCAGTTGCTTGAGCAATGATGCAAATCTGTCGTTTCGCAAATAAATTGTCTCAGTGCGGCAAGATAGATCAAAACGGAAGTTTATGTAGTCTGTGAGGTGCTCGCATTGATGTGACAAGTCATCATTGTGAATATTGAAAAATCAGTTAGAGACAGTGTTGATTTGAGTTTTTCGATATTATCTGCTGAGCAGTTCTATCGTTTGACATACTGTCACAAACAGCTGCTTATCGTGCAAAATAAGGCGGCATTGGTGAGACAGTTTCCTTGCAGCTTTTATCGCCCGGCGTCATAATCAGCCATTGCCCCGCAGATAACACCAAACACACCTTAAACAAGCGGTACGATTACGACAACAGCAAACACGCCACTGGTGCCGACTGCGAGCCAGGTCCTGTAAAGTCTAGCCAAGCACAAGACGGGCCTCGTGCACTCCAGCCCTGAAGGCGAGACGGACCAACAGCAAAGGGTCTGGTCGTCACTGACTTTATTTGCCGCTGCAAAATTGCCTATATCATGCCTTGCGTCACCCTACATTTGGCAAACGAAACGAAGCCCTCCTCGGTAAGCAGTGCCGGGCATACGTGGTACCTGACCAAGCCAGCAGTGCTCGATAATTTCACTTACTTAGTTTCATCATCACTGAGGTTGTTTCGCGTATCCGCGAAGCCCGTGTGATTTTCTAACGTGTCAGCTATGTACGGAGACAGCGGCCTATCACTCTGTTGTCCAGAGGTAAGGTGTATAGTGCTGTGATGTCGGCCGATGATCGAAAGGGTTACATGTCTACCTCGTAACCCGGCGGTCACTATTTCGAATCCGCGTAGGTATGTGTGGCCTCACGATATACCCGGCCCACGCTCGAGCAGCTGTGGTAGCGTGGCAGAGAGCCATCGGTACGATGTGCGGGCCGCTTCATCACCCCGAGGCATATCATCTGCATGTAGTCGATGGGGAAACGTGAGATCATGTTAATGCGTACTTGTTCAAATGGTGGAGCGGTCATGTGATGTTCCGTGTAATTGCACGCATTAATTGCAATCCTTAGATCCTCAGTTCGAATCTGCGTAGATGCGGGCGACCTCGCAGTATACCCAATCCACGCGCGACTGGTGGTGGTTACGTGGTAGCAACATGCACCGGCACACTGCTGACGCATCCTTGAGACATCAAACGCCTATCGCTTGTTTGATGACCATTCCCTGCGTAGTATTGCTCACATCTCGCGGAAACGCCGAATGAGCGATAGTGATGCTCCCCAGTTGGTTTTTGGCAAGAGATCCTTTGGTGCCTCACTTGAATTTTTGCTAAAGCTTAGCCACGTATGTTTGGATAGACCGCTTCCGCTGGACCAAGCGTTGCTCGCGGATCTCAGTGGCATAGTGATTATGGGGTCAACCATGAGCGAGCCACTAGGCTCTGAGTTTCAGCCCAACTCCGGCTATCTCCAACTGATGAGTCCCAACCAGGACGAAACCGCGGCCTTCGGGTGCCAGTGTTGGGATGAGCAACACTATAATTTAAGGCTTCTTCTTCCTTATCGTCCATCCTATTCCGTCATTGCACGAACTTTGTCGAAACCGCAACGTGGCCAATCGATGTGTCACAATGGCATGAAAATATTGACTGAGAGACTTGGTGTCTGCCATCTTCACGCATGGATTCTCCAGAGTGGTTCAAATCATTGGTTGGAGACGGTCGGACGTGGCACAATGGCTCTTTCATCGGCGCTCCTGCATTCGATTTCTTGTACTTTACTGTACTATGAAGGGTTTCCAGTTCTCTTGTGAAACACTTCGTTCGCTCCTTTGGTGAGGGTACTTTCGGTTTGGTTGCTCCCAACACCGCGGAGTTTATGCCCATCTTCCTCCTTGTTTAGGCTCTGATAGACAGCCAGAGACGAGAACGAACATGCTACATAGTGGCTGTTGCTTATCACTTCCAACCTCCAGCTCGCAGGCTCAGTCTCTTTTTTTACCGTGCGCGTAGCTACCCGCCCTCATTTAACCACTTTCCATTCTGTCTTTCAAGACGCTCTTTTGGTCGATGCCGGGGCGCTGTTCGATGACGTCGTGGATGATTTTTGCCAACTTCCTTTGATCCTACACCGTTTTGCCGATTGGCACTGCAACTTCCCCGAGACGTACACCGACGAGTTCAGTAACCTATTCTTTTCTTCTCTTTGGCTTGATGACTCATGCTTCAGTCAAAAATTTTGTATTAATGATGCACATTTGTCAGCCGAATTCGCTCTAACATGTGTCGCTAGATGTGAAAATATGTCTATCCAATCGGTGACAAATTGTCACTGAAATTACTAAACAAATCTTGTCGCCGCACATCTACTGTACAATCTCTCTAAATGTCAAGAGACGAGATTGTTTTTGACTTAGTTAATGTTTGATGGCTACGCTATCTGTCTGTTTGCTTCTGACCAAATTACAACATTACATCATCACCGAAGCCGCCTCGAAAGGCGAGGGCAAAAGACGATGTAGCCGATACACGCTAGCTCGTGAATTAAGTGTTGATTGGTCCCGTTGAAAGATTTGATAGCATTCTTCAGTGAATGATTAAAATAAACATTCCGAGGTATGTCAGAGAGAAGCTAACCTTAGGATACTTTTTATGATTGATGAGTACGAAGACGAAATACAAACCATTCATTCTTCACATGACTTAAATCTCACTTACCTGACACCGAAATATCTGCTCCGCGGTAGTCCTTCATGTCAGCAGCCGATTCAGTAGATGGAGGACTGTTCAAGACAAGAAGCCGGAGTCGCTGATTGTCCGCCTCAAGACAGCTCATTTCCCAACACATTTTCTTCAGCAATGCCTGCATTGGATCGGATGTTTTTGGTCTGCGAGGGACTTCCTGAAGAGACGCATCTGCATGAGCACAACGACGGTTGTGCCACTGCGATTCTTCCCGAGACCCTCTCGGGTTGCTGGACACTGTAGCAGTCGGTGCACTGTATAAAAAAATCGCCAACAATACAGTTATCAAGCAACATTTACATGTCATGTGCAAAACTTATAACAAGTATGACCACCAATGAAAGGGATTACCGCATCCAGCTAAATGTTATACCTCCCAAAAGTGGTTCACGCGAGGTATCAACAGTGAGTTTGAGTTGCATACATGCTGATAGATGCAATATCGCGTCCATATAATGTATGTGAACGCGATATTCCTCTTACTTTCTACAGCAAACAAAATGAATACGATGGCAAGGAGCATCGCTTAGTGAGTAAAGTGTTAAACGGTGATGGAAAGAGCGGGGAGCTGTTGAACTGTTCGCTGAGCTTGTCAATTCTGTTGCAGATGTTGCGTCACCAATCGGGGTGACATCATCAATGTTCTTGAGTAGTATGTGGTGTAGGAGACCCTCCATGAGAGTACGTCAGGCATAGTGTGCGTGTGTGGTTATAAGTTACAGTGTTTTGTCGCGTACGCGAGCAATCCTATTGATTAGGACACATGTCCGGGTTCTGCTTGTTGGACGGGTATATGACTTTGTACTTGACCTCTGACCTGTGCATCGTGACCTTTACCTGGTTACCCTGGTGATCAGTTCCGCCTACAGTTCCGTTTTCTTGGCGCTGAAGTCCATCTGATTTAATCGATCGAGCCTCGATCCGTCGACAGTAGTATTGCGTATGCAACGCCAAGTTCAGTGTGTCGATTGATTGAACCAGTTGTGCACTACTGTTTCAACAAATTCCTTCGCATTCTTCGTATTCTCATGTGCCAGCATCTTCACACTTTTCAAACGCCAGTGTTGGTGTTCTTGCATTTCAAGTGCGGAAATCAACGAATGTTGATCATTTTTTTCTAATAGCGTCTTTGTGCTCAGTGAGTCGGGTACAAAATTTCTTTCCAGTTATTCCAACCTAGTTCTTGTCACATTCGCCACATTTTATCTGGTAGATAACATTAATTTGAACAAAAAATAAGAAGACGAGCACTGCGAAATGGCAGCATTTCCTGTTATCTGATCACTTGTAAACTAACAACATATAGATCACTTAATTGAAGAAAGCGATCGTTTTGAATTGGTCATAAAGAATGCACGCAAACACAAAACAATAGCTGGTACCGCTGGGGCAAAGCTCATGAACCCCAAGGGATACTGTCAGTTGCTTTTGCACACAAAGGGTCGGGCGGTAACGAGTTAGGGTCACAGCCTCGGCAAAGTTCAGCACCCTGGCGTTTTCCTTTCAGTAGATAACCGCAAAAATTGATCCAGAGTCAACTTGGTGATCTGTACTGATTAGGTGTCTAGCGATGGATGATGTCGACAGTTTGCCTGCTGCTCCTTCTCCGGTTGCTTGTTGTGCCATCAGCCCAGCAATTCGCTTCGGAATGTGCTCTCCAATCCGCTTACTCAGACAACGATCTGTTCTGCTCACGTAACTGCTTCCGCAGGTACAGACGAATTGGTAAATGCAATGCTTATAAACAGGTCGACGGCGTCGCCATGGGTAGCCCTCTGGGACCAGTATTAGCATACATCTTTCTCGACTTGATAAAAAGACAAATTACTGCCAGCATTGGTGAAGTTAGGTTGTACAAGCGGTATGTGGACGACATCCTAGTCTTCACCAGCAACGAACATTATGCGCGGTTGTCGACAGTTCTGAATTCAATTCATCCAAATCTATCGGTGTCCCATGAGTTGGAGCAACATGATAGTCTGCCATTTTTGGATACACTCATTAAGAGACGGACCGATGGTACACTACAGCGCACGGTTCATCGCAAGGCAGCTTGAAGCGAGCAGTACCTTCACTATTCCAGCTTTGCCCCGGTCGCATACAAACCTGATCTAGTGAAACCGCTCTTCTACAGAGCCAGACGAATATGCAGCCCCGCAATGTTGCAAGCTAAAGAAGAATTTTGGTTCAAAACTTTGTGTCAAATGGGTATCTTGAGAAGTTCGTTCAGATCCACAGCATGTCACCCAAAGAGAAATTACCTGTGTTAACCGCAGAGAAAAAGAATGAGTAGTTGTTCTTGTCGTTCAAAGGAGACCATGTGTCAAATGATATCGGACATAAACTCCGGTCAGCCCTTTCGCGCAACTACGCGACCGTCCAGTTGTGACTCATACATACAACGCGAAGCCTTGTTCTTCATGACCATCAGAGCAACTCAGCGGTCAGTTCGGCCTCTCCCGTCGTTTACCAGTTCATCTGCGGTTGCGGTGACATTTACATAGGCAGGACTGGCCGTTAGTTAGCTCAGTGGGTAGCTGAACATGTGCCGAGGTGGTTGGAGGAACTGATGACACAACGAAACGGAGTGGATCCGAGGATGAACCGGAGTCCCGCATCATCTATCACCAAGCATCTGTTGGCAACCCGACATCAAGTGAACCCGGAGACTGCGTTCAAGGTGTCATTACGCAACAACAATCCGATAATCTTGGCAATTAGTGAGACTTTACTAATTAGGGCTTATCAACCTGTGTTGTGTGCACAGAAACTATTGTGATAATCAATTAGGCTACTGTGGTCTTGATTTTGCCATTTTGATTGGTGTGCCAACTTTTCCCCCTGTATATAACTGTCTATGAATCCCGCTTTTATAGTAATTGCGACTGATGAGAACAATCTAAATGTTGACATATCGCAACTTATGTCTTCTAACTGCTCTGACGCAATGAGTTGTGACGGAGACCGATTGAGTATATTTGATTGGGGGCACCGACAGCTTTTCGGTTATCCAGATAGGCCAGAGTTTGGCAGCGTTGAATGTACGAGGAATAGCTGTGTTCACTCGTCGTTTAATTTGCGCCGTCTCCACATTACCTTTGAAGGGTAGTTGTAAGTGGGCATTTTGGGCACAGTAAGAATTGATGTGTTTTCCTTCGGGTGACTGTGGAATCTGATGAATGCCTCTGGATATCCATTGGCCCTTACTGTCTGTGTGATAAAGCATAATTCCGACTCCACACACTCAGCACTGCATATTCTGCGGGCACGATCGAACAACATCTTGACTAGGCGACATATGTATTGGACCGGCGCAAAGCTATTGAAGTTTTCATATAGGCCTGTCCATGTAGCTTTCCTGTAAACAGAGCGTTTTATTGAGCCATCATCTCGTCTTGTCAACAATACATCTAGAAAAGCAAGACAATTGTTATCTTCTAGCTCACAGATGAAACGGGTGTTGAGATGTGCATTGTTGAGGGCACTGAGAAGAGACTGAATAGTCTCTACACTTGGGACAATCACCAAGGTGTCATCCATATATCGCCTGTATAGGCGACGGTTTCCTTCCCTTACGTGATTTATATATGTTGGTAGTTTGCAAGTGATCAGATAACACGAAATGTTGCCATCTGCAGTGCTCGTCTTCTTATTGTTTTGTTCAGATTGACACAGGGAACACGATGCTTTAAACATTAACTTGGTTGCCTTGATCCACTTTATTCTTAGGTATAAAAATCAATTTCCTTAGGGTGGCACTTGGTTTGTGAGCCACCGATATTCCAGGAGAATGCAGCAACCTCTCTGTTAGTTCAGTACCGGTCCTGATGTAGGGAAACATTATTCATATTCTGTCTGCTCTGGAAGCAAATGTAACCTTACTGTTGCGACGTGCACCACAATATGAGAATCTCCTAATTTATGCCAATCTGCTTCAGATTTGTACACACATCTGGTGTAAACTATGGGGAAGCAATTGTTCCGCGGGCAATTGGAAGTCTAATGCTTTACTAAGCTTAAATTGGAAATTATGTAGTTAGTGGCTGTGCGTTATGGTGATTTCACGAAAACGCGGTGCTCTGTCGACCAAAACAGGTAGGTAATGTCACCAAATTCTTGACATTATCTGGCTATGCTTATCAATAGAGCGATTAATCAACCTTTTATATAAGAAGCTGCAAAGAAGTCACAGAAAATGATGACTTACTTAGTAACACGCTGGAGTTGACTTGAGGCAGTAGAATGCTCACCAGAATCCATGCTGCTTTTTGACCGTCTTTTAAACGCCTTTCCTAAAGAAGGTCGTGTCTGAGAATGGGACAAATGAATTAAAATTTGTCAGCATGATGATTCACAATCAGCGGATTAAGACGAACTTTTGTGTTCGTATAGAGATAGCGTCGTTTGAAGACTGCTTACGATAACCCGTCGGAAAAATTACAAAATAATTGCATTGGTTGGTCAAGTTGATTAAGGTGTGTATGTGATTGTCGCGGTTCACATCCACTGTTACGGACACGGTTGATCTGTTGTTGTGTTTTTTGACCCAGGCAACATGGCTCCCCATGAGTCCGAAATTAGTTGAATCACAACCACTATAGTGCGCAATTGCGGCGCCCAATTCCTGGACGCATTCAAACACTTGGATACTCTCTCTCTCCAAGTACAACACTATAAACGCCACCTTATGCGTAATGGAAATTGTACACTTGCAATTGAAAAGTTGCGCGCCAACATGGGCGCAAACTTTTTTCTCGTTAGATATGCACTGATTTGGAATCGTCTCCTAATTTCCATTAGGTCATGTACATCTCCACACTTGTTTCGTGTACAGATATATAAACTGCTCCCAGTTCCTAAAGCTATGCACCTTTTCAAGCTGAATATAGCGGAAACAGAGATGTATCCGAAGGGATCAAATGTCATATAATGCATGTCTTTGATACCTCCAGGTGGTACATTACAAAGCTTCCTTGCTATCATAGATGTCGAAAGAGAAGAAAAACAGACCGTGTTTACATGCGCACTCTTCCATATTTTATCAATTTCTTTCCTTACCTGGCCATAGTAACCTCAAGGTCCCCATAAGAATATGGTGACTAAAGTGGGGCGTTGAACCGAGTCCTCTTCTTCATTCATCCGACCAATGTTATATAATTTCCTTACTAAGCCACGCCGGCCTCGAGGTTTTTATGCTTACATGGAAGTCAACAGTGGAGGGTAAACGGAGTCCTCGTTTTCCCTCCTTGGACCCCTGTTCTATCCTTTCTTTAACCGGCCATACCTATCTCAAGGCCTCCATGACCACATAAATGTCTATGAAGAAGGTCAAGCGAGTACTCATTCTCTTCTACCCGATGACTATTACACTAATCCTTTTCAATTATTTTGCAAAGATTGATGGTTTCTATTGCTATCTCTATCACAGATACGCATGTGCGCATATCAAAACACCATTAAACATACATTTACTAGGTGCTTAGTTTTACGCCCCCTTAAACCAGTGTTTGAGTAGCGTCCCCGCTAAAGATCACGAAATATTGGCAAGCCGATTGGCGGTCTACAAGAATACAAACCTGATCCATTCTAAAGAATGACCATCTCGAACATTGTACAATTAGCTAAAATGCGTGCCTTACTCAACGCATGCTTCTGAACACATCATTGTTAATCTGTATCATATTTTTCTCACTATGTATTAGATTTGTTAAAACTGCCATATGCACAGCAGTTTTTCTCCGCTTGCAAATAGTTTAACCTGTTCGCCGTTCTATTTTTCCAACATTTCACTTCCCCGAGACTAGTTCAAATAGTGGGGAGAAATATTCGAATACACCTGGCTGCCTGGCTTATTGACTGCCCACTTATACACCCATGCCATTCCCTTCTAATACTCAGTCAAAATATCCCGCTAAGAGGTCACCAGTTTAAGTTGGTCACGCAGTACAGCCGCCTGAAATGTCGGCGAAACTATTTCTCCCTTCGAGTGTCACAGCCTTGCAACTCCCTCCCGGAACATTTAATTAATGCACCCACCCTTTCCCTTTTAAAAAAACGCCTTGACGATACCCTGTCACATTTACACTACGTGCTATAGCTCATGACCACCAGATGCTGGCACTAATACACAACAGACAGTAGATAGTGCCATAACCCTACTCGAGAATGAGTCATTCCAAACCCGTTGCACAAAAGTTGATAAACGCTACTACTATAGGACTGGATTTCAGTATCCTGTAGACCAAAGATAGTTGCACACGAGTAAGCGTTGTCCTTGCTATTTTATTATTTTTCTCTCGCCCATTACGTGACCAATAACCACTCCCCATATTACTTTGTGTGCATACATTCTCATTTCAAACTCCCTTTATACGGCAGTGCAGTTAAATCTGTAATCGCCCGAACTGACGACTCCATTATCCCTTGATCCATCTTTTCTTACTCTAAACATCCTACGGGCCATGTCAAGCACCTGCTCTTTTACCCGTTATAAATTATTGTTCATTGTCCAAGCTCAAGCTTCTCCCGACTACAGTGCTATGAGAGACTACACCCGCGTGCCGAGTATTTACGCAAACATATGATTGACGAAAAATGTCACATCGCTAAATCTTCGCCAACTACTAATCAAAAACTGATTGACACTGTATTTCTTAACGTTCTGACTGACCACGTTAAATGATGCGTTCTCCACGCGTTCCTTTTCCATTTATCTGAAGCATCAACAAATTTGACGAAACCCTTGTACCATATGATTAGACCAACAAACTGGGACCTGTCTCACAAAGCCGAGATTGAACAAATATATTTATTCATCTAATTACTTTAGCAAATAAATAGTTACTACTGTACTAAACTTGGCACGATCAATTCAAAGAGGAGCGAGAAATTTAGGGTACGCCCCTGTAAGGCTTACAAAGATGTCCAAGTCCAGTGGAAATTTTTATTGTGATCCGGTATCAGCAGCTGACTGTCAAACAGTCAAATCTACATGCACTATCATAGATGATCTAATGTGCTCCGAACTTCCAAGTATACGGTTTGTTAAGTAGTTCGGTATTTGTTTCAGTGACGCACAGTAGCCGCAAGAAATGCAGTTGTGAGAAGAATATCGAAGATGCTTCCATAGTGCTATACTAGTTATAGAATAAAAAACATCAGTGCTGAATAGTTTGCAGATACAAACTTGGTCTCTATGGAGAATAATTTCATAGAACATATCAAGAGCAATAATTCATCAGCCACAGGCCTTTAGGAAAATCTCCTCTGACAGCTTTAGCGTACAATTTAGACGTTGGCCGTTTTATTGGTTTCAAATGGTGCAGAGCAAAGCACATGATATTCACAAAATACTGTGTCCGTCCGCGTTTTATGCAATATGAACAGCCAAGTTGAAAGTGCATCGGGACGACTGCAGAACGCAGATGCACCACCCTCGTACCATCTGGTTTCTCCCAAGTACCGGATAATGTTTAGGTTCTGTTCCAGTCACATGTGACGAATTTCACGCCATAACCAAACGTGGTGGATCGGTCTTATCAAATGCGTCTAGCTTGTCGCAACATTTTGGTTCATCTTGCGTATAAGGCCACATATAAACACTTTAAAAGAGGGTAAGATGTTCTGATCGATCATTCGATTTTCGACTGTGCCGAGAAAAGAAGAAAAATAAAACTATTCAGACTACCTAGGAAAAAAACAGCTACTGTGCGTATGCTACTTGATGGTTAGAGTCGAGGTGCACGGCCATAGCTACTTTAACTGAAACATCGCGAGGCAAAGCTGAACAGAGTAAAAGAAGTGTTTAAATACTGTCATCATTATGAATACCAAAAAATTCCCAACAGTGCCAAGTATAAAGATGGCTACCTGGAGATGCTCTCGGTCTTTCACTGCTGACGTGCGATAAGCTTACTCTATCAAGATAGTTCAATGATACTCGACAATTTCGGCCATTTCTGAGTCAAAATATGTCTGGTCCGACCTTTGGAGTATTGTGCACAGAAAATACACGGATTAAGTTTGAAGGGACGGCTTAAAGACAAGTTAACAGCATCGCTATGAGCAGTTCTATCGGACCAGTTTAAGCAGATATTTTCCTGGGCTTGACAGAAATGCAAGTTACTGCTAACATTTGTGAAGCAAAGTTGTCCACAAGGCATGTGGATGACAAGTTAGCATTCAGCAGCGGCCATCAGTTTCCGCGGCTATTGGCCATGCTGAATCGATGTCAACATAATTTTCGATATCCCATAAGGTGGAACAACCCAGTAGCTTGTCGCTTTTGGTTATACTCGTTAAAAGGCCGGCCGACGGTACACTCTAACGCATCGTTAACCTGGAGTGTGCAGTACCGTTGCCTAAGCAGCTTCGCTCCGGTCGCATACAAGTGCGAGCTGATGAAAGCTCTATGCTACAGAGCCAGGTGAATTCGCAGTCCCTAAATGTTGAACGCCAAAAAATGATTTATGCGGAGGACTTAAGTGTCAAATGGATATCATAAGAACTTCATTGATACCCATATCAGGTCTCCCAAAAATAAAAGACTGATGCTAACGGTAGAGAAAATGGGATGTTTGTTGGTTCTTGCAGCTCAAGGAGGACCATGTGGCAAGTGATATCGGACATAAGCTCCGGTCGAATGTAACGCGATCTTACACAACCTTGCATTGCTAGTCATGCATACCATGCGAAGCCATGTCCTTCACAACCGTCAGCAGCTCATTGGGTAACTCGGTCGCTCAAGCAGCTCGTTATTTAACGTGCAATTGCGGAGACATTTACACTGGCAGTACTGACCATCAGTTGTGTCAGAGGATAGCTAACCATTTGCCAGTGGTTGGGACAAGTGCGAAAGTAACAAAACAGAGCGGATCTGAGAGTTAACTGGAGCTCCGCATCAGCTATCTCCAAGCAACTCATGTCAATCGATTATGTTGACTCAGCCATCGCTTTTTAGGTGCTGTTATCCAACGATAAGTCGATGATCTTATTGATCGGTGAAGCGCTGCTGCTTAGAGCCCATCAACCTTGTTATGTACATACCACCTCTCGACCTAATTAGTTAGGTTACTTTGGTCTCGATAAGAACACTCTGACTGATGTTGATCATCGTTCCACACCTATAACCCGGCAAGTGTTCTGTTTGTATGGTGTTTGCTGCTGATGAGGGCGATCGATCTGTTGAAAGTTTACAACCCATATCTTTGCTCTGACGATACTCGACTGCTGGACAAGAATGTCACGTGCCTAGAGCTGACCTTATGGGGTAAATCAAAAGTAGTCCTGTTTTGTTAAAAAGCTAGCAAGCTACTCAGTGACAATTTGTGGTGTCCTCAGTGCGTAGATTCAAAGGTATACTAATCGTTACTAGCAATGAAGGAAAATACAGTCTCCATTACAATTTGCTACTAAAACTTTGGCTCTTCGATGGATTGACAAGATACTACAGTCAACAACTTGTGCACCTGTGAACCTGAATGAATCGCCTAATTCCCCATGAAGTGGTGACTATATACCATCGCGTCTAGCGCCTACAACATTTGCAAGCTCATTAGAATATCTCTGACAAGTATACTTATTGGGTGGTGTCCCGATATATTGGTACTGTTACCCGGCGCTACCTGCTTACGGCAGACGGTTGGTTAGCTTGGAAACAGTAGTTTGCCAACAGTACTCCTTCCCCGCGTAACTGTGGTTCAACTGAGGCCTCATGAGGTTAAGCAAATGACACAATGCCAGTTGCACCATTATATATATATATATATATATATATATATATATATATATATATATATAGCAAATTAGTGGGCGGTGCGATGCTTGGTAAATGTGGACCAGTTTCCCTGTGGTCTTATATTGCACCAGTGAGATTCAAACAACGAAATCGGTGGAATAATATAGCGATCACGCGTAAAAGGTAACTGTTTGAAAAGTCTCTTGCAAGAATATTGGAGGCGAAGGGTATAGGCATTGCGAAAAATGTGATGTGTGTCCGTCAACACACTGTATGCTTCGCAGATGCGCTAAGGATACGAGACCAGCGTATCACAGATCGAGCTACCCTTTGGAGATTGCACTCAATGTGACCTTGAAAGCTGATCTGAGTGGGGTTCAACAGCAAAGTTCAACTCAGAACTGAACGGGTTTGAGTAGTTTTACTTGATAGTAATCAGCAGCCTAGACATTGTGCTTAGTAATGATGTGTTTAGTAGCTTAGCTTCATCCTATTTATATCGCTGTGTTCCAACGCATTACAATTCTCGGTCCGGCTGGTCTTTGGCGTTCTCGTGACCGTGCGGGGTGGAACCGGTTGGGGGCATCAAAACAGTTTGGCTACACTTTGCATTGTTCCAATACATTGTGTTTAAATCATGGAATTCAGGTAGTGCAATGCTCAATCATGTTGAACGACTAACATGGGCACAAAAATGAGAGAGTTTGGAAGAGAGCTCTACGACATGAATACAGCAATAGGTTCCGGCAACATTGCGACCGACCATATTGTGTGGCAGGCTTCAAATAGTGGCCTCTTACTGTGGCTAAGTTGCATTAAAGGTCAGAACATGTTGTTGGGATCCTTTAGCATCTGATACACCAAGATAAGTTCACCTCGCAGTCGACGATATTGTCCACTGATGTTGGTTAATTGAGAGGGAGCAAGCCCTTGAAAATGTTAGTCGCTCTTCTTGTGTACTATCCAGAGAGCATCGACGTCGTCTTCTTTACCATGAGTACCAGGCTGGATTGCATATTCCACATTTGGCGTTCTTTAAGTGTTGAGCGTTTGCGAAATGATTGTGAGACCAGACCGACCAAACGCTTTCCGCAGGAGCTGCACGCTAGTTTATTGTTTATCTGTGTCTTGCTGCAAAACCTGCTGCCCTGGACGATATGTTAAATAAATACGCTAACGCAGTTTCTGTCCTACACACACGTCCTATCGCTATGGATCCAAGTTAAGTGTTGCACAGTCCGCAGAAAATTAGGGGAAGTGACATTTGCACATTTCAAGCTCATGGCAATTAATTATGTTACTGAAGACACGGAACTGCGCCTATGTCCAATGACACTACCAACAATACTTCGGTTCGGTGTCGATATCACTTATGTTTAAATGTTATGAACCGGTAGCTTCACTGGGCTAGCGCAGACAATTCGTCCGCCTGATACAGTCTGTAGAGACCGTAAAGTTCACGAGTGGCGGGAATTTGAAATTTGGATGCTCTGTTTCTAGTCCATCTGTGAATGCTACACAGATCCATCACATTTGTTATTATTCCTGTCACACACTGACGCAGTATGCTGTGCTAAACCGCCTTGCAGTTAAAATATCACGTGTGCTTCTGGCGATGGTTATAGTGCTCCACACGAATGAGGAACTAATATTGTTAATGCCCAAGTTTAACCCTAACCTTAATTATGATACAAAATCATCTGCATCATCATAAAACACTGGATTCTGGGTTTCGAATAAAGGATAAAAGATTTCTAATTCTTATTCTAATATCAGTTCATACCCATCACCCGACCTAACCTGTATTTCTGACTTTTTACACACCCGAAGCTGACGCCCTGCAGTCTGCATGATTAAGATGCTCAATGATCTTGTGAAGCATTGGTCAACGATTGATTTCGTTTCCGTTTTGTAAACAAATTTCAGCAGTGTTTGTGAAGTATGTAAATCTCGGGATGCGGAAATCCGTGAAAACTTGCGGGTTTGTTTACTGTTGACATCCGACAAGTGCTACATCTAAATTGTGTTTTGGTACATGTAACCAATATTGGTGCATCAACCTAGGAGTATCATCGAGTTATGATTCAAATGTATCTTTCGAAATTGTGCACCAGTTGGGTTGTATAACATGCGTTACCTATGGCTATAAACTGTATCCTATAATCCATCAATCCGTCAAGTCTATGTTTCAGAGATGGCGATGACTTACCCACCGTGGACGTTTGCCCGCGCCACCTTCGGTCTCATTCACAATGTCATGGTTTACTGGTGGTCCGGAATCCCCTTCGCCTGTATGGAAAACTTTGAAAGACTCCTGACTCCCTAGGCTTGTTCCACTAGTCAGACTGTGCAGACTCAGCGTTTCTTGGATCTCTGCATAGGTAAGACATGGGTATATACCGATTATGATCTACTGGTGAAACCTTAGAAGTACATCGCACTCAACATTTGTTAAGTCCACAAAAAATAATAGTTACAGGTGAAGAATGGTGATTGGGATGGCATAACAGTTTCCTGTTCACATACTTCCCCAAAATGAAATTATCCTGATCTATATCAGTCATAAAATTCGGTCGAATTTCTTCTTAGTGAGATACACTTATCTGTGGAACAAACTACCCCTACAGATACGCATGTGTACAAGCCATGTCACTTTTCGAAATCTCCTTCAGACCTTCCTCACTATACCAAATGCTCTGAAGATATTTGACTCACAGCAAACACTAGAAACATTGACAGAAGTTGGTATAAGAAACATATGATAATAGCTTACAGCTAGCTTACCCACTACATGTCATTACATACCATACCATACCAAATCTTTGCAACCTAATAGTCCCTTCCTTTATTATCTACTCCTGACGATACAAACATTCGTAAATTTTACATATGAGTTGCGCGGGTCTAGGACTCAAGCAGAAGTAATCATGATCCGAAATGCTATCAATAAACTTTTCTTTTTTGTTATGAAACGTGTTCACTATACAACTGATCGCTCCCACTTATGGGGCCGTGTACCGTCCGTCGGTAAATATACAAATTTATTTATTTATTTTAGTTTCTATCCGGGTCGAATGTTCAGCACCACAATATTCAGCATGGAGGTCGCTTCTGTTCTTAAGGTTTATTGCGGGTTTTGTCCTCTGGACTGCATGGAGCTGTTCCCTTCAATCAAAAAGCGCCACCCAAACCCACAGGTTCTGGCCCATCTTACTGAGGTTTGTGGATGCTTAGTTCAGCAAACTTTTGCGCGTCAGTGTGGCGGATCGTAGAGTGCTCCATCTTTGGCACCACATGATTTGTCCTTAGCTTCTGGGTGATTACAGTCTACAGAAACAGGCTCCTTAAAACGTTTCATTTGTGTTAACTCACGAAAACTCTTCTGTCTGTAACAGTATAAAATTGCACGAAGCTTGAAAAGGTAGCATTGTGGCTCTTGGACTCAACAATTATCCCCACAACTTCACAATGCACGAATTGTACCCTCATATGTACGCTCAATTCAAGCGTGGCTGCTGTGGTTACATCAAGATTTGTCGCGTTGAAAAAGTCGCGAAGCCGAAGGGGCATATCTGTTACCTTGCAAACAGACTGAATGGTTACTTTGTCACACTGCGGCACCTGTTCAGGTTAAGTGCAAATGCATACCCGCCAGTTGACCATTCCGAAATAGCGGTCGGAACTTTTCTCCCCTACATGTTCGCCATGCCTGGAAACCCTCTAGGAATTATCTCAACTCACATAACGAATGTAGGCTGAAACAAACTCGTTAGTACCCATTGTTCTTACGCGAAGTCAAACAACCTGGACAAGCGCCGGACAGCAAAACTGCTAGGAATCCACTTGTGTTGCTAAGACAGCTAAAATGCACAGCTTTGGAAGCTGTATTGAACTTTATGTGAACAGTCCCATTGGATGAGAGCCAAATTCATAGCTTTTAGCCTTGTTCTTTCGATAAATTCCCCGCAGAAATTAGGGTGAGGTATGTTGAGCTTTGATTTCGTGACTTTATTATACCATTAATGCTCAATCAGGGAGTGAGCTTCAGGTAGTGAGCAGGCATGTTAGCTATTGCGCTAACGTCGGGATTCCACAAAGATATGCACTCGGACACGGACTCTAATACTTGCATACGCAAATGGACCCCACAACGACACTTAGAGTCCATGGCACCAACGCCGACATCTCACCTCTCATTCCATTCTATGTTTTTCCACGGACTTTTTCAGACTACGCCGACCACTTCTTTCTTCACCCCTAAGTAGTTCAACCAATGAACTTAGCTCTCACCGTGGCATCTCAAATGACACATTATATTCGGACTAGCGTTCCACGCGTCTAATCACGCCCACACCGACTTCCGTCGCAGAAACTGCAGCTAGCTAAAGCGGAGTTCGAGGACAAGCTCTAGATTGGAATAATCAGTCCTCCAGACAGCATTTAGTCCTCTGCACTCCAGGTGATCCTAAAAGAATCTGGAGACTAGCGTCCTTGAGATGAATACCGCCCTCTAATCAGACTTACGGTTACAGACATGCTATCCTATCCCACACATACACGACCTTACTTCCTGTCTCACAGATAAGATAGTCCCCAGCAAGATCGAGCTTGTTCGTGTCTAGCACCAAATACCTGTGGAAAAAAGACATACCTAAAACAGCCTACGTCACTTTCTTCTTGTTCGAGCTCTGAAGTGCAACGCTGCACTGACCTTTCAACGCTTTAGCCATGACGTCACTCGTGGCCTATACTTCACTTACCCATACCTCGAAGACATTCTTGTAGCCAGTTCATCCGACAAATAGCACCTAGCTTATCTTCAATTGTTCCTCCAGCGGTTGACCCAACCTGTCGTCACTGTCAACCCGACTAAGTGCGAACAGCGCAAGTCCATGGCAGAATTCTCAGGCCACCTCGTCTCCTCGTCTGGTATCGAGGTGATTGCTGGTCAGATTCACGCCAATAAAGACTTCCCAGCTCTGACTCCATTGCAGCATGTACGTAGAGTTGGGGTTCTGGTCAAGTGTATTTGACGCTTCAATCCCTGTTGCGCTTAAGCACTGCATCATCTGACTGATCTGAGTGGAATAGAGTATAATTTGGCTTTCTTAAAAGCATCACACACGGCATTCAGCGAGCTTAAGAATGCTATCTCCAACACAGATCTCCACGTTCACTCCGAACCGTCTACTCCTCGTTCCCTTACAACTGAAGCTTTAGTTCTTGTGGTAGTAGCTGTTCTCCAACAACAAGTTGATGGACAACAGTAACCTATCGTTTTCTTCTAAACACGCCTGAAACCAGTTCAAACCCTACATCACGTTTGGCAAAGAACTGTTTGTCATCTACTTAGTGCTTCGTCACTACCGACACACAGTAGAAGGTCGGGCGTTCAAGGCTCTCTCATTTCCGCATTTAACTGATGTTCCGAGAAATTTTCACCACGGGAATCTAGACGCAGTTCAACGCTGACATGCGTCATGTCTCAGCTGTCACTAACCTTGTCGCTGATGCCGTCTCTCGCGTCCATCTCACTCTTCACTCTTTGCCCACGGTCGATCTTGTTTCCATGGCACCGGCTGAAGTCCAAGACGAAGATCTCCAACACACACTACATTCCACTTCACTGCATGTATAACCCGTTCGTCTCTGAATCACGGAGGGTATTATCCTTTGTGACGCTTCCACAAATTGTCCTACTCATCGTGCCCGTCTCTTTCAGACGAATAATCATCGACATTTTCCTCACTGTCTCACCTTGGTATCCTTGCGTCTTGCAAATTTGTCATCGTGCGTTTGTTTGGCCACGCATAAACAAATATATTCGCATCTGGGCTCGCTCCTGCCTTCAACGTCAGCGCTCCAAAATAGACCTTCACACGCGGAGTCCTCTCGGCTCATTCACTGTCCCGGCTTCGCAGTTCTCCCAAGTACACGCGGATTCGTATACATTCTTGCATGTGTCGACTGCTTTATTAGGTAGCCAGAAACCATCCCTGTATCAGAATACACAGCTGAAATTGTCGTCTGCGCCTTTTAAACTTGTGGGTATCTCGCTAAGGAAGCCAATCCACAACCACGACTGACCGTGGAACCTCTTTCGAATATTCACAATTCGTTAAGTGCTGCAAACTTCTTAGGCTGATGCCGTATTCACACAACGGCATATCACCATGCAGCTAATGGCCTAGTCGACCGTTTTCGCTAACAGCGGGAATGCAGATTTTGCGCCAGTACTTTTGGCTATTCGCAGTAGCATCGAAGTTAACCTGCAGTGCTCACCAGCAGTTAATCTAGAGCACAACACTTAAGCTGCCATGAGAGTTCATTTGGCTCCCCTCACCACTGTCAAAATTCGCATCCTCACTTGCTCAACACATGCGTTCCCTGTGCCCGACCCCCCCCCCCCCCGAAGAGCAGTCCAGAGAGGTGAAGATGCACAAGGAACTCTGTAGCTACACTCAGGTTTTCCTCCGCACAGACGCAATGCGTCTCCCCCTTAACGTCTTTACAACGGACTTTTTAGAGTTTGTCAACGAACTCCGAAGCACTATACCTCAGACCAACGTGGTCACCGAACAACGGTGGCCATCGATCGTCGCAAGGCGGCCTTCGAAAATCCGCCTCCTCTCTCACCAGGTATAACCGGCTGCGGATTCATCTACCGCACCGGACACCCGATATTCTTTTGTTACCTTTGACCCCTCGTGATAAGCAAGTCAAACGTCTGGTCCACTTTTCGGATTATGTTAACGTTCGTTACTTGCCTTATCATGCGAGATTTTTCTACTTTTGTGGTAATCGTGTTATTTTCATAAACCGTCTTCAGAACAACAAAAAGCAACAACTTTTACGAAACTGTGCTCAAGCCCTTCCATGTGTGTCCCGCGCCGTCGAGAATAAAACATCTATTTCTTTATTTACTTGCTCCTGTGGGACAAGCTTCATAGGCCGCACCACCACACATTTAGTCGAACGTTTACGAGAGCATCACCCAGCGTGGTTGGGTCCTGGAAGAGACAAAAGTTGGATCACTGCGACTGTAGCACATCTGGCCGATACGAATCACTCGGTTATTATAAAGGCCTTCCGTCCGATCTATTGCATGAAGGGAGTCCGATCCAAGCTGATCAAATGCCGCATACTTGCAATGAACAATTAACAATGAGTTCTCACGAGTAAAAAAGCCTGTGCTTGACAAGTCCCGTAGGATGCTTGGAGTAAACATAAAAATTTGTAGGATCGTCGAATAAGTAATTCGTAATTTCAAGCGTCCACCGAGTTAAATGTACTACTGCATAAAGATAGTTTGTACTGGGAATGGGATGCGCACACGCAAAGTAGTATGGAGAGCTGTTATCATTCAATAGGTG